ATGTTGCTAATGAAAGAGTTTCTTATGCGACTTCAGGTTGTGTGCAATTTTGTCTCATTGCGTGTGTGTTGTGCTGAACACATAATCAAATTTGGGTCACTATGACTGATGTCATTCCAACTGTGCCAGCAGTGGTACACAAGAGGAGAATAGCCAGAGTGTTAGAAAAAGAGGTGAGCAAGAAGAAGATGCAGAACTGAACAGAAAATCATCTCTCACTTCTATGTCAGGAAAATTATAAAGTCAGTTACTTAATCACCCATATACATTCAAATAACCACAAAAAGCCACATAAACAATGAAATGTACTAGTTACCTTGAAGATACCATCAAAATATCTATATACAATACACTTATGAATGAATGATGTTCACGGAAAGAAAGAACACAGATAATTTATTTTAAGTTTTATAGAATGGTCAATGATTTTTTTGAACTCTTAGTCATAATCCACAGATAATATTTTCCCAAAAAGGAGTTTTATGATTTAACAAAGGAGAGGTTTTTTAAAACAAACACAAACAAACAAACAAACAAGAGACTCCAGCTATTTGCTTTGATATATCCAAAATAAATTTTAATGACTTATTAATTAATTTGGTTATGTTTTCAGCTTTATTTCTTCCAACTAGACCACATCACAATCAACTATATCAATCAGAAGAATATAAATGGAAAATCAGGCTGCAGTACCGTATGTAAACAGTGACTCATTTATGAAGAACATTAAAAAATCAATAGGAGTCTTCTTCAATGCAATTCCTTCTCTGCCATGACCTCAACAGATCTTATTAATCTAACCATGGTCACCTGACTGAAGACAGTCATAGTTCAGATATCTTGAAAAAGCCAGAAGAACTGTTGACTCATACAGTACTGTCCAAATATCAATGGTGGTGTTTTTCTCTTCATTGATCAATGTGATTTTTTCCCTCCTTTCATGCAATTTTACCTGGCTAATTCGATATCTGTATTCCTGAAGATCTGCACAAGAACTAACCATAACTGTAATGGCACCATTACCATTTGGTTTTGCTTGCTGTACTGTAGATCCATCCATGAATCTGGTATAACTTTGGGATTCTAAGGTAATGCTAAATATACTAAGACATGTTCTTTGTGAAATCTTTGCATCCATGTGGAGCTGACGGGCAAAATGACATCCCAGGTTATATCTGCTACCTCTCAACCCACCTCAATTCTTGAGTAAGAATAACATGAGATGTCGAAACTTCATTTTCAGGAGCAGGGGTTGGGGGGTAGGGAGTACCAGCTGAATTCTGAGTCAGCATTGGGTTCAGCCTGTTTGCTCAGTGCTTGGGAGACTGGCTCTGGGCACCATTCAGCAACTCTGTAAGTAAAAGGTGATTGTTGAGACAGATTTCACATCTGCTTCTGATACACAGAAACCATCAGTAGCACATTCTAGCCTGTATACAGGGGAAATACTTGAAATATATCAGGTAGATTACTAGGTAATGGGCAAACTAGTCTATCGCCATGGCAGGCATTTTATTCTTGTTTCTCCATAATCAAACTGATTTAAAATATGGCTTTCAAGTTCTGCTAGCAGTTCATCCATTGTCTTAAGCATTTTATTGTCCTGATGTCCATTTTTGTTTCTAAAACTCCCCATGGCTTAAATGCAAGAAGAAGAAAAAATGCTTTCATACCAAATCCTGTCAGGGTATTAGCCCTTATTTCCCTTTGAACATGGCTGTAAACATTCACAGCCGCAAATGCAAAACAAGAAATATGAAAACTCTTGGTCAAGATTTTAAAGGCTTAGGAACATAGGCTGCTTGTTCCTAACAGAATATAAACATAATCCTTTCACCTTTCTCAAACTGGCACAAAATATATAGCGAAGAGAAGATGAATGTTTCTTGAGGCTCCTCTGACACCAGAGGTTAAAGAAGGAAGGAGGAATCAGCAAAAATCATTGCACCATTTCCGGCAAGGAAATTCATTGGACGCCATCCCTGCATTTTTTTCTGCCAAAGAAAGGAGCCCTTTTGTTCACAGTGATTGAAACACTAAAAAAAAAAAAACCCTGAGATTCAATATACAAACATGTTTCAAGCCACATCACCTCCAAACCCACAGATATATTCTGATGTAAATGAAGTTTGCGAAAAGACAACTAGATTGTTCAGTTCGCCATCCATAAACAGAGACATACCCAGGAAGACCAGAAGATCCCAAAAACAAAATACAAGTCAGAATACTGCTGTTGACTTGAGGGAATTTTTCCACAAGGGACACTACATTCAACCCCTGGTTGTATTTACAGTATTTTCATATTTAACTTGCTTTCCTTGGAGATTATTCCTTAGCAGCTTGAATCAATAGTCATTAATAGGAACACAAAGTAGAGAGGATGCACTTGTGAATGCTGTATTTTAGTGGTTTTCAAAGTAACCATGAAGTTTTTGTAGGAAGTGGTACTGAGTAAACATGCTAAAGGAAAAATATTACTTTTGGTAATGTGTGTAGTTTTCATTCCATAAGGGCAACAGGATATCACCCTGATCAATTAAAGAATTCATCAAAGAAAGGAATGATTATCTTGTCCCATAGGATAAGCATTTATCTGAATAAAAGCTCTGAACTTTCCAAAAATTTCCAAAAACATGAATTAGGCTTTAAAGAAGTGACCTACAAAAGCATTTAAAGTAAAATAGTATTTGAACTAATGACTCTATACTCTGACACGAGGATGAGTCTGACTGAAAGGTACCCTTGTAATCTCATCAACACATAGAACTACATCACTGCAACACCAGGATGATTCCGGTTGGAGAGCCCATTGGTCAACATGTCTACCAGGAGGTAGGCACACATCATTTCAAATGGACTTAGCAATTACATGCCAGTGAGCTGTGTCTGTTGCACAGCAGCCCTCCAGGAATAAAGTACTATAGAACTACGGTAACCATGGGGGATTGGTTCCCAGCTGAACTCCCCTCCCACAGATGCCAAAACCTCTGGGTATGCAAACCTTATACGGTATATAGCATAATTTCTGGATCCATCTAGTGGCCATTTTGGATAATACAACTTGGAAATGCATATCTCTGGGGAGGGTGTTATTTAATATTTTCAGGCAGCAGATAACTGAAACTGCAAGTAGTGATTCTGCAGTTATGGCAGCCCTACTGTACTCAGAAGTGGTTCACAGCCCCCCCCCCGGTGCCATTCTGGAACTGCGCAAGTACACCATAAAATCATTAGCCATGTATATATACTGGATGATCTTGGTTGAAGATTCAAAATCCCAGGCTTTGCCTCTGCTGCCAGATGCTCCAACACACTTGCTTTAAGTAAAGTAAATGTAGGATGGTGCTGATGTTATCCTCTTTCTTCTTTGCCTTCTACTGCTGCATCCTGACTGCCTTGTCTATACAGTGGGGTCTTGACTTAAGAATGGCTCGAGTTAAGAACATTTTGACTTAAGAACCACTCTCATAGGAAAATATTGACTTGACTTACATACTTAGATTTGAGTTAAGAACTGAAAAAAAACCACGTGGGAGGCAGGGAAAGTGCAAAATTTGAACTTTCAGTTAACTGTTGGCCAGTGAAAAGGGTGCCTGTCTGCTTCCTCCCTCCTCCCAGCGTTTAGAGAGTGGATTGGGAGTCAGTCTTCGGACTGCCTGGTACTGTTCTGCCTGGACTGTATTTTCCCTGCCTTCCCTGAACCTTTCTTGACCTAAGAAAAAAAGAAACAAAATATCCCCTTCTAGTGGTCGAAGGCAGAATAGCAGCTTCCCATGAGTTTCTATGGACGGAAAAGAGCAGATACGGATCAAATGGTTTTCAATGCATTCCTATGGGAAATGCAGATTTGACCTGAGAACTTTTTGACTTGAGAACTGCCTTCCAATACGGATTAAGTTCTCAAGTCAAGACCCCACTGTAGTACTTCCATTTGTACAATTTTGGTATTTATTCTTTTGGCAGATTGAAGGAAATTAAAAAGAAAAATATTTAATAACTTCAGCTAGAGAAACTGATAAACCTCTACATCATTACTCTCTAAAGGATGAGCTGACACTTTCCCTAGCAATATCCACATCTAGCTAACGGGTTAGCATTCCAAGTCATTTCAGTTTGTCTGAAATAAAACCAATTTCTCTACATTGTGACCTCTCTAATTCTCTAAGGACTTTGGCTAAACCATAATGGGTAAGCAACTTTTTTTTACATGGACACCAAGTGAGGACTTGATAATCTGAGGAGAAAAGCACGTGCAGGAGGCCTCAGACTGAGCTGAGAAAAACAGAAATGAATATGTTGCAATATTCCAATATATCCAATATTAATTTGTTGCAATATTTGTTGCAATTTTTAAAAAGCCACTGAAACTAGCATTTATACTGAAATGCATTCCTTGGTTTCAACAATAATGAGGGGGGGGGGAAATTAAGGCTATACAAACATGAAAACAAATAAGAAAAATAATATAGCTCAAATAGGAAAAGAAGAAAATGTGGAGACTATTTCAGCAGCTTTCTATGCCTCATAACACTGAAACCTTTTCTTAGATCAGTGGTTCCCAGCCTTAGGTAATGCAGATGTTCTTGGACTGCAACTCCTAGGAACCCCAGTCAGCACAGCTAAGGTTGGGAACCATTGTCTTAAATGCAAAAGAAGATGGAAAAAAATGCATCACACGGCACTCAATTTCCTAAGTACCACATGGACATGCTTACAGGAAGTATGCATAGATTAGTACTATCCATACCTGTTTATATGGTATTTTTGAACAGCACTAAAACTGAAAGTGTTGCCATTAGAAAACCTTTATTTAAATCAGTACAGTTTTCCTCTACTCTTCTGCTATTTCCATTTCTATTTCTCTTCTGTGAAACACTTCCCTCCTTGCAATTTTCGTCAGAAAAGTTATAGTCATATCTTGCAACAACACAAAGCTGTTTAATATACCATCTGTGAAAAGTACATAAAACAAAACTATTGAAAATTTAAATCTCCCTTACCTGTATCTTTGCTGTGGAGATTGTTTTTCGGCTGATTTACAAACATGTCCAATGTAATACAAAGGAAAGAATAAAAAGTTCCAGTTTGTTGCAAACCACGTCAAAGTGAAGGGCGCATCAAGTTTATTAAAGGTCAGTTTTGCTAGCTGGGTTGAACCTGACCAGGATGAACAGACGCCAAGTACCACCACTACTCCCCAGAAAATTTTCTTAAGCAGGGTTGCAGAGCATCTCCAGCAACATCGGCTTCCTCTACCACCAGTTTCCATCCCAGCTTGTACTGGGGCTTCTGCTGGGGCTGGGGAGTCATGAGAATGCTCCTCCCCTGGAAAAGAAAGAAGGAGAAGGTGCAAATGTTAGAATTAGTGACCATTACCCTCCACTATTTTTACTTCCAAAGCAATAAGTCACAAACTACACCATTTCATGGTTCTGTGTACCTAAGTAAATAATGTAGTATCTGAATTAGAACTCTTTTGCAGAGCCCAACATGGCATGAATAACATTAGTGTCAGTGAGAGGTAACATAAATGGAGTCAACAATAAAACTAACCAATCATCCTCCAAAACTTGTAACTATGACAAACAGAGAATACATGGATACAGATTTAAAATGTTAAAAGTATGAAATAAAATAAAAAGAGAGTATATTATCTTATTGAGAACATTAACTGATTGTTGCTTTTTACACTCTTCAGGTGTATCAGTAATAGAATAAATGGTTCAATTTGCACCCGATGTACTTGTTTTTCTCTTGTATGTCCAAAATAAACAACTCATGGGTATTGATTCTCAAGAGAACAAAATCAGCTGGAATAGATAAGGATGCATGCACAAGTAGCATGAATCAAGATATTATTATCTATTAATAAATACAGAATAGCTGGCTAACAATGATATGTGGTGTATCCCAATGATCCTAAGACTGGAATACAAACTAAAAATATTAGAGAGAAAGATATCTCTATGGAATGCAAATTGAACTGTTAATATATATTTCTGTGTCTGTAAGCAGTAACAGGTTTCAGTCAGCCTTACTCATAATAGATTTTGTTCCTTAGATACAGTTGGGTGATGCATTCCTATCTCTGAAAACTACTCACTGTGCACATTGATAGCTCATTTAGGGATATAAAAATACAACTATTGTTCTTAATATCAGTTGTGCACCAGTCCCAAAAATGAGGAAGCAAAGTGTGTATACATACATGCATTTGTTACATTTAACTTTTCCCTCCATGTGCACTCTTAAACCAAGTGTTAAATACAGTGATAAAGGTGTTTACTCTACAGAAACACTGTGACACACAATAGTCAAGTATCACTTTACTATGAAAATGATCTCACACATCAGGGGTTGAATTCCAAGGATGCTCCTTCGATCTCTCACTGGAAGGAGTAAAACGTACACCAGCCAAAAAACATGCTACTCAATTTTGGGAAGCAGTGCACAACCTTAGAATATTTAATCTCTATCTATACTGACTTACACTAAAATGCACTCTCCATCCTATAATATAAAGAGCAGCTTCATAAATTTCTTTAAAAACAACAACGACAACAACACTCCAAGACAGTAAGACAGTGACATAAATAACCTCTAACACTGAAAAGGTTGTCATAATCCTCCATAGAGTAGTCTCCAGTAGCTAGAGTCAAGGCCAAGGATTTCAAGAAATGTTCCCTGTCACATTGGAAAAGCAGAACCAATGACAGATCCATCAGCTGATTTAATTACATGAGCAAATTTGGTCACTGTTCCTGTTTTACTGATAGGAAATCAGCCGCTATTACCTTGCCCTTGACAGCTAGCCCCTGCCCCATTCAACTGGGTAAGAATGGAGCTAGCCTACACTGATAGGAAATCAGCCGCTATTACCTTGTCCCTTTCAACTGAGTAAGAATGGAGCTAGCCTACAACTTGTTGGGAAGTGTGAAGGCAAGAGGAGAAGGGGACAACAGAGGACAAGATGGATGGACAGTGTCACTGAAGATACCAACACAAATTTGACCCAATTCCGGGAGGCAGTGGAAGAGAGGAGGGCTTGGCGTGCTTTGGTCCATGCGGTCATGAAGAGTCGGACATGACTTAACGTCTAAACAACAACAGCCTACAGCCACATGACTTAACGACTAAACAACAACAGCCTACAGCTATGTTCTGCTGCAAACCATAGAAAATTTTACATGAGACTGCTCTCCCACAATGAATTATTATTCTTACTCTCACTTGGCATTATTACCCACTCAGATGCAGCTTACCCTCTTATGTATCAACCCTCACTTTCACCTACACAGGTTTCGATTATCCCACAGTGGAACTTGGTATTTATGGAAACAGAACAGCACCATCCCATGCTGTGAAACAAACATAGGCTCTTCAGTATCTGACATATTTATGAGCAAGTGCTTCACAGCTTGAGAGACTTAAATGACTAAAATAGACACATTCTATTGTTCATATTTTCTCCATTTCTTATTCTTATGTCACATTAACCATCTGCCTTGTTGTACGATCCTATGACATGTAGTATGAGTGCTGCAGCATTCACAGGAAGAACAGAACATCATAGTCATGCCCACTAGCGCTTGGTGGCTTTGTATGAGACAGGCACTGTGCCCTGTAGTGAACTGCGCATGTAATAGGGAGAAATGTGAACTGCAGTCAGTGTCCCTAAGTAATATGTTGAGACACTGGAAAAGCAAAAAAACTACACCATGGGTATCCTTTCCTGGCAGTGCATCAGATGGTAGGGTGCCAAGCCCTGCTTGCCAAAATAAAGGCCCTTGCTTTCCTGTTGTGTGTGTTTCTGTGCATCCCAGGAATGGGAGAGTTATGCTGACGGTGGGGAAAGAGAAAAATGAGAAGAAAGAGAGTATCTGCAGAGGCAGGTCCCTCTCTCCACTTCGCAAGATGCACATGTAAGGCTGATGTGGGACATGGGACAGATAGGTATTTTGAGATGTGGAATGCTGCAGGTGAGGTCTGTGCTTGACCCTGATTGCAGGGGCTGAGGGTGGTATAGGAGTTCTACATCTGCTTGAGAATATACATTGTTTCTCAACAACATACTGCAGTTCTTTTCTGCTCATGGTTTCTTCAGCAGTGGCAAGAAGTCCTTCGGCCTCTTCTGGATCTTATGAAGGTAGAGATTACCTGGATCCCTCTCTCACCCCCATTCACAATCGGACTATGCCACCAGATAATATATTTTGGGGTTATTCCCCACACCACATTCTCTGCTATCGTTTTTAAATCAAAGAGACCAACAGGATTGTTAGAATTGTTTCAGCAAAGTCAGTGTTATTATGCAATGTACATGGAATAAACAACGTGAAATTGATTATAGGTAAATGTTTGAGGGCCAAACTATATGTTATAGATAACTTGCCATTAAGAGAGAGTACTGACTGCTGATTACATGTAATTGCAGAAGAACTTTTTCACCTTCCACAATTTGCAATTTACCTTGCTTTTTTTCTTCTTGGTCTTCAGGATGTAAAGCAAGGCAAAGCAAAGCATGCTGCTTATATACCGCCCCATAGCACTTCAAGCACTCTCTGGGTGATTTACAAGTTAATTATGCAGGCTACACATTGCCCCCCCCCAAGCGAGCTGGGTACTCATTTTACCGACCTCGGAAGGATAGAAGGCTGAGTCAACCTTGACCGGGCAATCTGGATTTGAACCCGGGCACAGGAGCATAGTTTTGACTGCAGTACAGCAATTTAACCACTGCACCATGAGGCGCTTTTCTCTTTATACATCTATTTTCCCAGACATGAAACACTGTTCTATTCATGTCTCTTGAACACTAAAATGTATTCTGTTCTAATTATGGGTTACCTATAATAATATGAACTTTGGCCCTGAGATGTTTGTAGAGTCTTATGAAGCAATAAATTCTCTTTGGAACACCAGATTTAACCATTGCATAATTAGGTAACCTGAAGAGAAATCTTGATTACAGAACAGAATTATTAATACAGAATAAAGTTGGATACATGCTCATTGTGAGGTGAATCAGAGTATCCAGTATAAAAAATGTATGCAAGTAAACTGGAAAGACAGTCAAGAATCCAGAAAAAAACTGAAACTAGCAGAAAGATGTATAGACAATTGTTTGTGGAAAGGAAACAAAGAGAAAAATAATGAAGTCCTAAATTTAAACATAAAGATAGAATGCCTCCTTTCCTGCAACAAATGAAACCAGGTGTTAACTTGGTTGTTAATCCAGCTTTTTCTGGCGAATATCTCAATTATGTTTGATCTGATACGTGAAGATTAAAATGTAAGGTTTGCAAATTAATGAAATGCAGGAGAGTAAATAAAATAATACATTTAGCATAGTCACTTGTATAACTAGTCCATGCATTTTCTCCATGCTATACAGATGTCTGCTTAACACTTTGTACACAGTACTCCTTTTGTAGTTAATGTTTGTTCATTTTTGCACTGACGAGCTACTTGGTTTCTTATTTAGAAACTGGTGTTCTCTCACCAACAAAATCTTCACTGCTAGCTATCCACTGCAAGCCAGTTCGATACGTGTTGAAATCAGTATTCCTTATGGCAAGCCAAGAATCCTTATCCTGCACTGGCTGCATCACTTGCACTTGCCAAAAGGAAGCTCTAATTGAAAGTTGGGCAATACATAAATTGACCTTCAGCAACAGACAGCCATGCTGGCAAATATTAGCTATAGTGGTTATGCCTATTTACCTCCAACCATTGTTTCTGTCGAAAACATTTTTTAAACTGCAGTCTTTACATTTAATCCATATTGCATGGTTTAAATCAGCACAATTATCTTCAGATTACTGCTGCTGCGATTTCATTCTTTTATACAGTACTTTGACAGTAACAATTTTTGGGATTATGCTTCTAAGCAAATGTTACCAAATAATTTATTAGGATACAATTCTCTGCTATTTGTCACATAAAATGTAACATACTTGTTGATAATTGTTAAACATGCTATTTTTGCTACAAGTGGCAAATAATCAACACACTTCACATGGATATAATCATCTTTCAGTAAAATGCTACACTGTTCACATCATTAAATGGTTAACCATTTGCCCTTATTTACATGCTGTTTGTGATATATTCAGCACAAATAAAAAAACTTGTACTGAGATGACAGATTATACACAGGACAAACCGCAGCAGAACTAAAGATGCATTCTTTTTGGGGGTGCTTTCTATGCCTAAGCATGTAAAGGACCCAGACCTTCATGTAATGTAAGTGCTACTTTTCAAAAGATAAAAGAGCTCTTCTCTAAGAAATCTGAAAATAAAGATAAGTGATATCTATTATTGTC